CATTTACGTAATACACATAATACACAGGCCATCGTGGTGTGTTCCAGTCGTTTTGTTACACGTAGAGTTAAGCTTCTGGTGCTAGAAGTTTTGAAACGTGTAGGTCGAATACTGACCTCTGCCTCCTGTCTTGACCCCTGATGATAAATACTTGGTAGATCGAACGACTATGCCAGAACTTTCTTCTTTTTATGCTTATCGTATTCCCCACCAAACCGCCGCGACGCATGAGCTCATGTTTTGTAACGTTGCCTTCACTCGAAATGCTTTTATTCATTCAATATACATTGTACGATGTACTTTATCATTTACCGTACCATTGCTACCTAACTACGATACATATCCATAATACTCTCATATAAGTCTCGTACGCTCAATTTTTCCAATCACCCACTGCCTTAATATGTATTTATTTTATGTTACTATATCTTTTCTTTTTCATCTATTTTCTTCATATATGCTTGGCTTTTGTATGTGCCAGGCTTTGAAGATTCGTTTTCATTAATGAATGTTCCAATCGAATAATGAAATCAAGAATACAAAAATAAAGTCATTAATGACCTCTACGTGTACACGCTTGAGGTAGTTTGACTGTAATACCTGATGAATCTATGTTCTAAAATTTGTCAAACTTATACCCCATTCACACCAATGCTTAAGCATGTTTTAAGGAGGATTAACTAAACAGGTTTGAAAAACTATCTACGAACAACTGCGCAATATTTAATGAAATAATGCATTTAAACTATTCTTTGTCTTGCTCTGATAATATTTTAGAAAATTTCATTATTTTGTACGCTGTGTCTATATGACCGGCAGCCGGTCAGGGTCTTCAAATTACTAAATGGCCGGCAGTCGATAATTTTTATTTATATCTAGTTAAAAATATAACCAATCGCTTCCAAACTACTCCAACTTTATTCTTTTAGCCCAAGCGAGCCCGAAAAACGTTTGAGATCTCATATTTTACTTTTCGYCGATGCCCGGCATAGAATACGAAGCCATGAATTCAGTGGGCCGACTTAGTGAAATCAATACACGACTGCCGGCTAAATAAAACACGAATTCCTAAATGACCGGCAGTCAAAAAATGCACATTTTCCTAAACCAATCGCTTCCAAACTACTCCAACTTTATTCTTTTAGCCCAGGCGAACCCGAAAAACGTTTGAATAAAAAAAATATTCAAAAAAATCAAAAAATCAAATCAAAAATCACAAACGCGTCTTTTTGGAGTAAGGCGGAACTCTTGACTGCCGGCCAGGGTCATCAAATTACTAGATGGCCGGTAGTCTAGAATTTTTTATATTTATTCAAAACAACTTTTAGATTAACAAAACCTTATTTTAAGAATTACCAGGCACTTTTTCACAACCCTGAGCTATTAGAATACGAAGCCGATTTAGTTAAAAGTCAACTAAACTTTTTGCACAGTTCGGAGGGATGGAAGGAAAGAAAGATTTGATTGGGCGGCAGGTTAATAACAATAATAATTTCAAGGAAGGAACACACTAGTTTTGTTGTTGTTGTTGTTCCTATTGTTGTAATAAAGGCCCAAAATGCAATGCAATGTCAGTGCAGYGTGACAGCGCAGGAAAGCGTGACTATATTGACAGCTTTTGACGACCTTGTCATTGATGTATTCGCGCGAAAGATCCGCACGTGTGGTTGAATTCATAACTAAGAGAGCAAAGCGATTTTCTTCTTCAAACAAGGATGTCAGCAAAAAGAGGTGAGTAATAGACATTTCTAATATATGAACAAGTAGATCTTGTATGTTTTGATATACATATAGCTAGTTTTCGATAAGAAAATCATTTTGTTCGGCATGCGGCGAATTTACAAATATTTTGGATTGAAATGATTTGAAATAATTTCAGGTTTGTCCATGGATACAAAGCTTCAGGTTAGTAGTACATGAATTTTTGGGGGCTACAGGGAATAACGCGATGGCAAATGGCAWGTGTTCATTACTACTCATTTCAGAAGTCTATTCTCCCGTTTCGGGTTTCCATGCTAATCAAGAAATTATTTTTTCCTAAGTATTTCTGTATTGGATAACATGGAGACCTATTAAATATCAACTTAAAAGTTACTAATTAATCCTGTTTATTAATATAATCGGACACTAACCTATATATATGGAATGAATTCATAGGAAGCGTAAATTCGAACGGAAATAAATGTTAAATCCTTCGATGGAGTAATTTAAAAGGTCCGAAATATTTCTTCCTTCTCTTATCGCCTCGCCCTCCCTCCTTCCCCCATCCTTTTCCCTTCCTCACTTGTTTTATGATTTCTCTCATTGTAGGACATACTTAAGAACGATAAATTTGAAGCAATAACTCGGTTGGAAACAGCTAGTCTAGAGTATCCTCAGATACTTTACAGCCATAAGCAACGTCTTTGTAAAAAGCTTCCAAATTTTCTAACAGAGGTGTGTTCCATGGTCAACATGCCCTCCAGGTCGGCTTGCGAGCAAATGAAAGACCTTTGCTGCAAGGGGAAATTCMCAGCTATTTCCTGTGAATTAGGAACATTCACAGTCCATTCGCTTTCCCAGTTGATTAGAATACACGATCTCCGTGACGTCAAGAGCGCAGTAATTAGTGAGCAAAAGTGGCTCTCTAAACAGATCAATGTTCCAAATGAAGCCTGTTCCATTTCAAAAGAGCTTGCTAAAGTTTTTACCGATAAGATCTTTCATACACCAGATGGAAGTAGCGTTCTGGATAATAACAGCTATATCCTTGCATCCGATTTGGCAACAGTTGCTGGAAATGGATGGGTTCACTTCAGCATTATGCTGGGCATAGCTGAAATCCTCAATCGTCAAAGCTGTCAAACAAGTGCACTGATGGTCAATGATTTGGTTATGATGAATGAAGATAATCTGAACGACTACGTCGATACCCATATCAGTCCTACCGTCAAATATTTGATTCTCTTTGCAAATGTCGGGAAAACTGGCAACGGGGATTTTTTTTCAGCAATCCAGGGCAAAAAGGCAATCACTGGATTTTGATTTATATTGACCTCACAGTAAACAAGTGGTTTTACTGCGACCCAGCTTCCTGGAACATGCCGGCCAAGATCAAGGGTGTCTTATCACCCATTGTGCAAGCAGTTTGTGGGAAAGTCCATACCAGAAGAAAGCCTTTCAAAGGTATTCAACAGGCTCACGTGCACAGCGAAAAAGCCCCATACAAATGCACGAGAAGTTGCCTAAAAAACATGCCTTTGCAAACGTGTGCGAATATATGTGGAGTTGCAGTGGCCGTCATGGGAGGTATTGCATGTAACGCTCCTACACTATGGAAAGATGTTTTCCTAAATCGGCATGGCACCCTTTCATCTGGTCTGACCTGGTTGATGTCTCTAACAACAACTGTACACAGTCACTCTTGCACGTAAAAACAGTTGGAAAGTCTGTTATCACCTGAAGTTCAATGTGGAGTGATAATTCCAATATGTGCAAAGCTCAAACGAACTGAAACTCAACTACAATGAAATAATAAATGTGAACAGAGAGGCTTTAATATAAGTTGATTAAAGTATGGTTCCCTACACCAACAGGACATTTCTAGACAAAACAACAACTGACTCAATGCCCTGCAAGGTACAAAGAAATAAGGAAAAGTCATTTAAAAGGTTGATCAAATTGTAGTAATTTGATGTTGATCAAAATACATAAACAAGCAAACCATTTAAACAAGAACGCAGAAGCAAGAAAAACACTGTTTGTTAAAGTGAAATGGCTTTTAAATGAATCAAATACTTATTAATTTTTTTTCTAAGAAAACCCTACCTTTGAAGGATAAAGACATCAATTTGTTACATACGTTTAACTCACCTTCTCAACTTCGCTCGCCRTCTTGTCCATGTGCGTAATGACCGTAGGAGCCTGAACACTAGTAAAGTGTTATCGCGCGATAAGTTGATATTTATCGCGCGATAGTGACTAAGTTTTGTTATCGCGC